AAATTTGTTAAAATTTATATTTTACAAATTAAAAATATAATTAAATATTAAAATAACGTTCTTCTAATATTCAGTATATTAGCTTTTATTTGAAGAAATTATGTATTATTTTTCTGCATCTATGATGAAAATTATTTACAATATTAATTGTTTTAGTTCATGAATTTATTTTTAAAAAGATTTATTGGTTGATATTCTCACTCACGCCTGGTAAAAGTATTTCTTAATGTCTAAATTAATCTGAATAATATAGTTACGTTTTGTAATTTTTGTGGCTAAAAAAAAAAGGAGAACTGCAGTTCTAACAAATAGTTTATTGTAAAAGCTAATAGAGACCGAATTAGATTTTATTGTTGAAGGTCGTGTATAATCATTGCTTATCTGTGATGTATTGTAGTAAGTTTTGCAGATAATCGCATGCTACAATAATTATTTCTCAAAAATTTTGGAGGATCTCAGTAAACTAATAAGAAATTCTAAAAAATAAAATAAATATAAGATAATAATTAAATAAGAAGAAAATAAGAAAAAGAGAGATGAATGTTTTGAAAGAATGTATTTATACCAGCTGGTATGAGACCAGGATTTTCTCTTTCTTATTTTTGCAAGAGATTGTTATGAAAGTGAATTGCAGGAAAATAAAGAATCAACTTCCACGTTAAAGAACGTTGCAAACCTATTATCAATTCTTCCTTTAATTGGTGGAGATGATTTCATGGCACTCTACACTTCTAAATAAAGATCATTTTATACTCTTCTAAAATATATATTTATCATCTTCTCTTTTCTATTTTCTTCATATTCTATTATTGGTCTTGAATTTATTTACACTTTTAAGAATTTCTTGACTAGTTTATGAGATTATTACAGAAATTTTTTAGTTATGTCCTACGAGACTTGTTCAATATAACACAAATAAATCATTACATTTACTTTGTGTCTCGACAACTTTTACAACACGGTTTACGGTTTTTTACAGTAAATATGTTATTTATTAAACATTAATTTAATAAATGTATTACTTTTAAAATATAAATAGATATATTTAAATAATAAATATTTACTTACATATATATAAATATATTCCAGTAATCTCATATTACTTATAAAAGGTAAAAGTAATTTATGAGTCTCATATTATTTATAAAAGATAAAAGTAATTTATATATTCCTATATATATTTTAGTCTTTGATTAGTGATTTAGGTCTCGTTCTTATATATTTTTCATATCAAATTCCACGTTCGATCTATTTCAGTGAAGATCAGATTTTACATTATTAAAAGGAAAAAAAAATAAAAATAAATATATATATATATATATATATATATATATATATATATATATTTTATTGAAATACTTGAGGTAGAGTAATGAACCCGAACTTCTGAGATGATTGTGTGAAAAGACTTTGTTCAAATTTCAAAACCACACTCTTCTATTCATTCCTGATGGAGAAATGCATTTGGTACAATATTCTTTTTTTAACATTTCTTATTATTGACTTAAATAAATAATATATATTAACCACTCATTAAATGAAATAAATTTTATTCATGATTGCAAATAACTAACCTCAACGTTACTAATTAACCACATAAATGTTTAAATTTTTCCAAAAGATACAAAATAAAAATAAAATTTGAGTTGTTTCTTTTTCCATGCTTAGATGGCATAGAGACTTTGTAAGTATATGTACTACAAAGTAAAGTTTATTAAATTTAAGAACTAAATAAGTAATTAAATTATACTTTAACAAATAAAATGAGAAAAAAATGAATAAAAGAAAAATAAATAAATATGAATTTACTAAAAGTAAAGGAAAAATAAAAAAGTATAAATTATCTTAATCTTTTTATATATATATACATTGCTCATATTACTTTCTTCGAAAAAAATGTAATATTATTTAGTTTTATTGCTAATATTTTTATTATGACGTTGAGTTGTATTTTTGCAGTGTATGAAACAAATCGAAAATATCTTATTTATGATGTTAACAAAAAGTAATTTGAAACTATTTTACAATGACAAATCAATTACTTGTGTAATCTTAAAAACATAAAAGTAATAGGAATAAATTGTAATTAAGAATTATTTGTTCATAATGAAATTTAGATTATAATTTAATAAAAATTGATATAAAAACATAAATCTAAAATTAAGTAATATTATTGAGTACCACGATACTATAATAGATAAAATAAGCTAATTTTAAAATATTACTAATTCAATACTGTACATGGTTAATTAATTTTATTATTAAATAAAATAAAATCAATTCAAATTTTAGTAGATAAAACAATATTTTAAATTTTTTTAAAATATAGTGGACTAAATCTAATAGGTCAACTCACCGGCCTATCTCAAATTACAAATTAAATAGGTGAATTGATAATTTTTTTGTCTAATACATTTTATCTCATTCTATATATCTAAATAAGTTAAAAGATAAGATGAGTTAACCTTTTATTTGTGTTTTTCCTATAAAATTATATATTAATATTAAAATAAAAAATTATAATTTTAAAAATTATAATTTTTATTATTTTATGTTATTAAAATATATAAATATATTGTATTATTAAAATTTAAATAAAAATGCTAACAAATTATATTTAATTGAGTATGTAATTTTATTAATTTCAATAAAAGATATTAGATAATAAATAAGTACTTAAAAAAATTCATATAATTTAAATATATTTTTATAATTTAAATTTAATTATATCTTATTACATTTAAGAGAAAAAATAAATATTTTTTAATAAGAGTGACTAAAACCATAAGTTTCAATATTATTAATGGTAGTAGTGTAATTTAACTTAAAAATAATGATTCGCTACAATGCATTCAATAAAAAAATGTTAATTAATTAATAAAACTCAAAAAATCATATATTTAAAATATATATTTATATATTAGTAATTGAGAATTAAAAGAATCAATATTATAAATTATATATTAAAAAATAAATTACTTAAATAAAATCTTTCTAAGTTTATTTATTCAATTAAATTGATTTTTTGTTTATGTATAAATTTTAATAAAGAAAAATAAATTTGTTTGAATCGTTGATTTTTGAGTTGTCAACATGGATTTGTAAGAAGAATCTTCTTGTCATCAATCAACCACCATTTATCTCATTTCTACATGAGTTAGAACCAAACAAGAATATTTGATAAAAATTTCGTATAATTGCTCTAGTGTATTTTTGATAGTTTACAATGTTCCTTTCATATTTTAGAGTTTAAAAATAGATTTCTTGGATGTCAAAACCTAGAGTTAGCCATAAAAATCACTTATATTGGATTTTTCTAGAGAAAGATAATGAAAAATGCGTTGAGAGGTGTCGTTGGGAAAAATCTGCATGTAAACATAATCTTTGGGAAATTATATAAAAATATCTACTTGGTTTTTAATTTTGAAATTTTGGTTATATTTTCCTTCATATGTCTAGTTCGTATATGATTTATTTCAAAATTTTCTAACAAGTAGTTTTTCCATGAAAAATATTGGAAGTGATTAGGTTTTGAGTTGGACGAAACATAGTTGCTATGTCCGCGCAACAACTTCAAAAAATCATATAAAATCGATATTTATCGTAGTTGTGACTGTATGTATATATATTAATTATATTTAATTTCATAATTTTATGACCATAATTTTATTTTAATTTCATATTTTGGTTATTCTTGTTTTCATTTCATGATGCTCTAACACCATATATAATGTAACGCCCCAACCGTTTGTACTGAATTACCAACTATAAATAGAATTTTCTTTTTCTCTCTCTTTATTTTTTTAATAAATATTTTTTAAAATACTTAATTATCATAACTCAATCTAAATTATAATTAGATTAAAATATTAAATAAAAATACATTTAAATTATTATTTTTTAATAAATATTTTTTTAAATACTTAATTATCATAATTGAACATAATTATAACTAAATTATAATATTAGATAAAAATACATTTAAATTATAAATATTTGATATTTTTTAAATTAAATGAGTAATTATTCATTATGATAAAATATTTTTAAATTATTTATTTACATCATCATAAATAAAATAATTTACTATTAAAATAAATAATTTTATTTATTATCAAAATAAATACAATTATTTATTATCAAAATAAATAAAATTATTTATAAAAATATTTTTTATCAAAATAAATACAATGATTTATTATCATCATAATATAGTAGTTTAAGTAAGAGAATAAATAAGAAATGAGAAAGAAAAATAAAAAACATAAAAGAGAAAAGAGACAAAAATGAGAAGTGAAAAAAGAAAAAATAAATAAATAAATTTACAGAGAAAGAAAAAAATCAATAAACAAATATATTTAAATAAATAAATTTATATAAATAATTTTTTTTAAAACATATTACTTTTAGATTTCATTCTGAATCCAACTCAACCATCGGCCTACCTCATTTTTTTCAGTAGAGGATCTACTGACCCAATTTATTTTAATATTAATTTTTTACTTTTAAATTTATTATATTAAGAAGTTATGCAAGTATACGCAGAGAGGGGTTAATATTGGTACCATTTAATCCAGCTTAGTATAATATTTGCAAAGAATTTACATGAAATTTTAACAAATTAAACTTATCGAGATAAATACTATTTTGACAAACAAACCTTCTTTCCCAAATATTCATTGGGTGCAAATTTAATTACCATCCAAATAAGTGAGGGAGGAGAATGTATGTTCATCTATCTGTGATGATTTAAGGATCAAATTAACCCAAATAATCCATTGATGAAGTCATCGCACATGCAAAACTCTCCAACTTCAACCTTAAGAAGTCACTGAAGAAATGCAATTTCTACATCTCGCTGCCATCTCTGTCAATACCAGCATTACAAATCACACGCACATCATTTGCACAGGAACCAAAAATTTCCAGAGTTTTCATCTGGCTGGCTAGTGTCATTGTATGTTGTGCGATTAGAAACACATTTCCTCCAAATATTAACACTACTGTCTCCATGTAAGTCTACGAGAATAGGGCCTCCTCCTGCCAATGCGTACAATACTACTAATCTTTCTAAAACTACCCACCAAACATCTGGGAATAGTGGACGGCCAAATCCTGCTTCTAGTTGTAGTTTTTCTTACAACTGCTAGTGGAGTGCAAGAGAACAACTCTCCCACAAAGCCAGCAAATTTGTTCTTTACTACGTGCTCTTCTTCTACTTCTTCAATATGATGCTTCCCATTATCTGTGGCGTCATCATCATCAGAACCAATATCATCATTGTCACACTTTCCTGTGTGTTGATAGCTATCCACTTGAGAAGACTTGCACCTTACATATAACCAACTTGTATGAGGTCTTGCTTCAGAACACTTTTTTTTCTCCTTAATGTGAAACATCAAGTAGTAGGTACTGAATTACTTTGGGTATGTTTTTGTTCAGTAGGTGTTTATTTAGATGCTATTCTTTTATTTCAAGATGTATAAAGTATGAGCTAAATATATTTTCATTGCTGCAGATGAAAAAGCAGTAATTCGCAAACTGTGTGTGATAAGATGACGCGAAATGACTAAGTGTAAACACATTCAAATACTCTACTAATAATGACAAAGTGATTAACTTAATGAGCTACCATGTTTGAACTCATGCATATTTCATTAAGTCATAAATAATGGTTTACGAGGAAACAGGTGCTTCTTTAAATCCATTTGTTATTGATGACAACTTGACGTTTCCATGACCGAACTAAAGCACAGGCCAAAGACTCAACTAAGTGTAACAATAAGGTTACAATCATGTTGATTCCTCTGCATATGCAGACAGCACGGTTTAACATCAGTAGAGTTAACAGGAGAAAACCGTAAAAGTTTTACCTCCTGTGCTGTTTCAAAGATACAACTCTTTTCTTCAACCGCTTTCTTTGGACACAGCAATTGTTTGAAACATGGCGGGTGAAACGAAGCTATTGCAAACCGAAATAAAAAAGAACAAAATACATATTATGAGCATAAAAAATTCTAACCACATCATAGCAGTTATGATAAGAGAGAGAAGCAATTCTAACAATGTCACACAATACTTAATTCTCAACTTTGAAAACTAACGAGACAACAAGAATAAACTAAAATAAACTGGCTTCAAACTTACTTTTTCCCATACAACGATTGAAGAAAGCAACCACGAAATGCTACTGAAACCATAATATGCTAGAAAAAAAAACTCCAAATATCAAATATGACTAAGCACCAAGTAGTTGAGACTCAAGATTTAATATTATAGTACTTCCCAACCTAGGAAGATTGTATTATACCCCCAACGGAAGTCACCTGATTCACAAAATTACAATCAAATCTTTATTTTTCCATAAACATCAATTACAAACTATCCATTTATTTATTAAGCAAAGATGTCTTCTTTGCCTGTCTGTTATTAACTAACAGCAGCTTTTGCATAATTAAATAAATAAAAATACATGAAATTAGCCATACACTGTACAAGGAACTTCCATCTGCAATCGCAAATGTTCATTCTCTCCAATATCAATACAAGAAACAACCATATGACAACTTAGCAAAGTATTTTACTAAACAGTGAAGGTTTAAATTAAAAGGCGACGTTAAACACATCTTAGAAAGTAACCAACCTGGTCACCATCCTTGATGCCATAATTTCGAAGATGATCCTTCTCCGTAACTAGCTTCTGTTCATCATAGCATAAGCAAAACTGCCCCCAAACATGCGCCCTTCACAACCCAATGTAATATTATATCAATTTAAATTATGCCCACCTCAGTAGAAATTTCAAACTTTCTACATCTTGTTAGTCCGATAAATATAATAATTTTAACAAATTTCAGTTTTATATTTTATAAAATTATTATAATTTTAATGCACTGACTTTCAAGTAAAAATTTACATTACTTTTAATATTAATAATCATTATTATAAAATTAACAAAATTATCCATGTATATACTATTTATCCTTATTTGTGATATTTATTATTAAATTTCAATTTAATAACTTTTAATTTAAAATCAAATCGCATTAAGCCAAGTGACCAACTTATAAGCTATATTTGGACAATTGAACTAGACAAAGACTTTTGGATAATCAAGACAGATTATGTGAAACTTTTTATGATATCCTTGACTAAGGATAATATGGTCACCGTTAAGACGAAGATTCTTATATCATATTAGATGATTTCAATTTAAATACAATTGGCATTAGACCAATATAAATCATACTTAGAAAAGGGATATACATTGTGGAACTTCTTATATAAAAAAAAAGGTCTTTTAGATTATAAAAGCATACAAAAAATTTATTTATTTTTATAAAATTTAAGAAATAGTCTCTGACTGATGATGTTATAGCATACAAATAAACATATCATGCATCATTTAAAATAAATCATCAAAGGAAAATGTTTCAATGTCTAAATATGACTGAGGCATGTCCTATCTTACAGAACATCAGTGAAAAACTCAAACTGACACTTTTTTTCATCATAACAATGGCCTCCTTCTCCTTATCAAGAGTGTGAATATAATGCTTTTAAAAATTAAAAGAGTTTATTTAATAATGTTTTAAAACAGATTGGAGATTCTTATAGACCTTAAAAAAATTGAGGTGTCAATGAAATTCAAGAAATCCTCATGTTGAGCGAGTGTAATTTACTCATAAAGTTATCATTTTTGGTCATTTTTTTGTGTGTGATTTGATAAATTTTCTCCATAAAAAGAGACTAACTATATTGATCATTAGAACCAATAAACAAATTTTAAGAATTGAAATTAGAAAGATTTGTAGTTATGTGTGTACCCAAATCCAAATGTTTAACATTATGAATTTGACTATTTGATGATATGAAATCCAAGTAGAGTCTACCATGAAATTTGGGCGGGCCCATTTAGAGGCGCGTGGGCGAACACAGCCTCCACTGCGTCTTTCAGTTCCGCAACGGTGGCCGTCTTGGGAACCTGAATATCTGCGAGGCGCGAGCAAAGTTAAATAAGTGTGCGATGAAATGGTGAGAAAAAAGAAGGGAGCGGAAAGTGGTTGCGTACGGAAGGAGGAACCATCGAGTTTGAGGACGGTGAGTCGGAGGGGTTGGGAAGGAAGCCTGTCGTAGAAGAGGCTTTTTTTGGCGAAGATAGAGTCGATGATGGCGAGGGAGGAGGAGCGGCTAGGGCTCTTGGGCTTGGGATTGGGTAGAATCAAGCTGGTTTGGTGGTGGGACATGGTGGAGGGCTCAGAGGGAGAAGAAGCGTGAGAAGGAGTTTATAGAAGGGAGAGATTCTTAGAGGGGTGTGACACGCATTGTGGGAATGGATGGAGTTAGGGTTTGGTTTTGGGAGTGTGGCTGGTGCTGCTTCTGTCGGGGAGATTCTGATTCCACTTTCACACAGAAAGAGAAAGGGTGAGGTGAGAGAGACGAGAGTGGTGTTTTGTATTGAGGAAGAGAGGGTAACGGGGAAAACAAAACCGTTAAATGCGCCTGCAACGGTCTATTTTCGTGGGCTTCGCCTTACTTTTGGGCCTTTTCGTGGGCTTCTGCTTTCTCTATCCACCTTGACTTCAATTTCAAATTTGGAATTCTTCTTTTTCTTTTATTAAAAGAAATAATTAATTAATCTTGCTATCAGTTTTGAAAATGACGTTTTAGTGAATTATTTTTATGTGTTTATGTTGTATAATACTGTAAATGTACAATAAATATATGTTTCTTTGTTCTTCGTTGTTAGTGATCATCTGTTTTTTAACCCCTTTAAAATAAATTACTGAAATTTATAATATTGTCACACTCACTCACTCGTCTATAAACTCGTCATGTAAAATACGAATACATGTTTAATGTTATTGTTTTTTCACTATATTAAATTAGAAGATAAGAACGTGTTTTTTGTCATATTGAAGAAAAGAAAACTTAAAAGCAATAGCCCATAATTTAATTTAAAAGAGTTACGTATAAAATACATTTCAAATAAATATTAGAGATAACATTAAGTAGATATGTGCATGTAACAATATAAATTTCAAAAAGTGTTTTTTTTTTTTTAAATGAAAAGGAATAGACGAAATACAAGTGTGAATAACTGAAAGTGTAATTTGAACTTGTCTTCAATTATATTACCGCCGACTTTCCCCTTCTATATGAACACATAAAATGACAAACCTTTTGTTTGGATGGAATTAAAAAGGTAAGCAAATAACAAATAAAGAAAAGAAAAAAAGACAATTTATTAGAGGAGAGTTGAACCTAGATTATTTTATAAAATATATGGGACAGGGACACTCAATTAAAAGTTTGCTTACCTATCTATTTGGAAATATCAGATTTGGATTCTCTCTAATAATCTTGACTTTTTAACATTTATTTCAACCATTGATTTTATATATAATAATTATTAAAATTAAAAATGTGACAAAAAAATTGATTATACACATCATAGAAAATACTTTTAGAAAGAATCCAAATTCAAAATATCCCAATATGCCCTCGTGATACAAGCTCCCTCAACATATATTTTACAATAATAAAAATAAACACTAATAACAATAAATAATTATTTATTTTTTAAAAATTAAATGATTTCCACGTTTTATTTTTCATTTCACTTCATTTTAACTAAATAATCTTTATTTTTACTTTTTTTTCTCATCCAACCCCGTGATGGAAAATAAACTTCAGTAGCTTATAAGCGTACAATAAATCTTTTTTTTTTTTTTTCTTACTGTTGTTAAGCTTGTTAAAAAATGTAACGGGTATACTCATGTTAGATGGCATTATTAGGATAACAACAGGAATGAAATTTCCATTAAAAAAGGGGGACCAATTGGTGGTGACAAATACAAGTATAGACAGACACCCCAATCTAACCTTTTATACTTATAATACAAAATTAAGAATTAATATGGAGACTAATTTGAGAACAAGTTAATAGTATATGTTTGAACACAATAAATGCTAATGACTGCAAGTTACACGAGATGGTTCAACCTGCATAAGGAGATGGGTGAAATTTTTTGTTTCCGGTGGTAAATATTCATTTTTTAATTATTTAAATAGTATATTGTAGGTTTTACTTATTTATATAATACTTATTTTTAAATTGAGAATTCAATTTTTTAATGCTTTGAACGTGGGTACATATTTTTTTTTTAAATTAGTTAAAATTCAGTTTTTCAACTATTCTGAATTAATTTTATTTTAATTTTTATTTATTTTGTTAAAAAAGAAAAACTAACTAAATATATATATATATATAATATTATAATGTTTTATTTAAAATTTATAAATTTAAATTATAATTTTAAAAAGATTTCTATATTTCTTAAATTAATAATATATTTAGATTTATGGTCGAAAGTAATAAAATAATAATTTTAAAATATATTATTAAATATTATATTTATATTTTATTTGTATGGTTAATTTTTTTTAATTCTTTAATTTATTTGATATTATAATATTTTTTAGAAATGAATAATAAATTAGAAGGATAATAAAAATATTAAAAATTATATGTATATAAGATGAAATGATGAAATAATATTTTGATGTAAAATTATATTTTTAAAATGTATTTTTTGTGTGTATTTTGTAATATTTTGAGATATATATATATATATATATATATATATATATTATAGAAATAAAAATAAGTTATACTTTGAATATATATATATATATATATATATATATATATATAAAAAATATATATTAAAATATAGTTTATTTTTAAATTGATAATTATTATTTTAATTTATGTAAAATATATACATAAAATTAATTTGAAGTTGATATATGTAATTTTAATTTATGTAATATATATATATATATATATATATAATTTATATAAGATATATAATTTATTTAATATTAAAAATAGTTATATTTTTATTAATTTTATAATAATTTTTTTAAGTTTATAATTTTAAATATAATTTTTTTGACTTTATATTTATAATTTTTTTGACTTTATATTTATAATTTATATAAATTATATAATTTATAAATAATGATTTTTTTAATTTTAATTTGATATATATTTTTTATTTATAATTTTTTAATGTATATTTGAAAAACTAATTGATTATTTAAAAACTAAACAATTATAATTAATTATTAAAAAAAAAGTAACCGTTTCTCATCAAATAATTAAAAAACTAATTGATTAATTTTTGAAATAATCTATTAGTTTTTCAAATAGTAAAATAAATATATATATATATATATAATATAATATTATAATGTTTTATTTAAAATTTAAAGTTTTAAATTATAATTTTAAAAAGATTTATATATTTATTAGATTAATAATATATTTATATTTATTGTTGAAGGTAGTAAAATAATATTTTTAAATATTATATTTATATTTTATTTGTATGATTAATTTTTTTAATTCTTTGATTTATTTGATATTGTAATATTTTTTTAGAAATTAATAATAAATTAGGAGGATAATAAAAATTTTAAAAATTATATGTATATAAGATGAAATAATATTTTGATATAAAATTATATTTTTGAAATGTATTTTTTTTGTTTTGTAATATTTTAGAAGATATATATATATATATATATATATATATATATATATATATTATAATTTAAAATATAATTTATTTTTAAGTTGATAATTATTATTTTAATTTATATAATATATATATATATATATATATAATTTATTTAAAATTAAAAGTTATATTTTTATTAATTTTATAATTATAAATTTTTTAAGATTATAATTGTAAATATAATTTTTTAAAATTTAAAATTATAAATTATATCATATATATAATTTATAAATAATTATTTTTTTTAATTTTAATTTGATATATATTTTATTTGTAATTATTTAATGTATATTTGAAAAACTAATCGATTATTTGAAAAGTTAATAATATAATCGGTAAGAACTGATTCTAATCAAGTGATAGAAAAATTAATCGATTAGTTTTTGAAATAATATATTAGTTTTTTAATATACATTAAGTAAAATATATATATATATATATATATAATATTATAATATTTTATTTAAAATTTATAGTTTTAAATTATAATTTTAAAAAATTTATATATTTCTTAAATTAATAATATATTTAGATTTATTGTTGAAAACTGTAAAATAATACTTTTAAAATATATTATTAAATATTATATTTATATTTTATTTGTATAGTTAATTACTTTTTAATTTTTTGATTTATTTGATATTGTAATATTTTTTTAGAAATGAATAATAAATTAGGAGATAATAAAAAATTTAAAAATTATATGTATATAAAATGAAATAATATTTTGATGTAAAATTATATTTTTAAAATGAAATTTTTTGTGTTTGTTTTGTAATATTTTGGAAGTATATATATATATATATATATATATATATATATATTTTATATTATAGAAATGAAAATAAGTTATACTTTCTGAATATATATATATATATATATATATATATATAAAATATAATTTATTTTTAAGTTGATAATTATTATTTTAATTTATGTAAAATATATATATATAAAATTAATTTGAAGTTATATATGTAATTTGATATGTAATTTAAACTTATGTAATATATATATATATATATATATATATATATGATTTATGTAATATATATATAATTTATTTAACATTAAAAATAGTTATATTTTTATTAATTTTATAATTATAAATTTTTTAAGGTTATAATTTTAAATATAATTTTTTTAATTTTATATTTATAATTTATATAATATATAATAAATATTTATTTATTTTTTAAATTTTAATTTGATATATATTTTTATTTATAATTATTTAATGTATATTTGAAAAATTAATTGATTATTTAAAAAATAATCAATTATTAAAAAAAATAACGGTTAATCGATTAATTTTTGAAATAATTGATTAGTTTTTCAAATAGTAAAAAAAAAAAAAAATATATATATATATATATATATAATATTATAAAATTTTATTTAAAATTTAAAGTTTTAAATTATAATTTTAAAAGGATTTATATATTTATTAGATTAATAATATATTTAGATTTATTGTTGAAAGTAGTTAAATAATATTTTTAAAATATATTATTAAATATTAGATTTATATTTTATTTGTATGATTAATTCTTTTAATTCTTTAATTTATTTGATATTATAATATTTTTTTAGAAGTTAATAATAAATTAGGAGGATAATAAAAATATTAAAAATTATGTGTATATAAGATGAAATAA